GGTGTGTTAGGGCGCCGAGTACACACGGGGGCCGGCGCACGCGCGCGTTTCACGTTTCTCCTCGCTTTCGCACGTGCATATACGTACGTCGGGGGGCGAAGCGAGGGAGAAAGAGAGAGCGCGCGCGAGAGAGAGAAAGAGAGAGAGAGGCCCTCTCCTCCTCGTTGCTCTCGTGCGACGACGGCGGCGGCGCGCAATCGTTCACTGACCCGCTCTCACCGACACGGCTCTCTCGTCGCGTGCGCGCGCGCGCACGCACACGAACGAACACACACACACACACATACACACATGCATGCATACACGCACGCACGCACGCACGCACACAGCACAGCACGCACGCCCGCGTGCCGATTCGATTTTCCGATGCAATTTTTCCCGTCGGGAGAAACGAGAGCACAGGCCTGTCTCGGGAGGCGCGCTTCTGTCCGTCGCTTCGTTCCGTCGTAGCCGACCCGAGACCGCGCCGCGCGCTCTCACCGCTTCGCGGCGACGAGTCTTCCTCTTGTTCTCGAATGCACGGGCACGAGACGAGCGCGAAAATGCACCGAACGAAACCAGCCGGCGCTCTCTCGGCGCACTGTCGTCGATTAAAAATTAAAAAAAAATAAGAGAGAAAATATTCTTACGTTCTTCCTTCGTTTTCTCCTCTTCTTCCGCCTCCACCGCGGTTCTTTGGTGTCCTCGGTCCAAGCAGCGCGCGAGTGTCCGCGAACGGTGAAGTTTCGGTGCGGCACCTCGAGGCGCGTGTCTTGCGAAACGTCCCTCTAGGCGACGACGACGACGGCGGCGGCGGCAGCGGCGGCAGGGACGGCGGCGACGGCGACGGCACAGGGGAGACGTTTCTGGACGACGACGGCGGCGGCGGCGCGTGTTCGACGACGACCGGGATAATGACAATCGCGCGCGTTAATATCGCCGCGCGAGGCGGAGGTGCCGACAACGGCGCCGTAATAACCCGCACCTGTCGCAAGAGCGCCGCGAAGTTGTTGCCGCCGCGAGTTGTTGCCCGCGTCCAGTCCGCTATAACCAGCTTCCTGCACTCCGCGCACCTCTTCCACCTCGATCATAAACATCACCGCGCGCCGCGCGCCGGTTAATGGCATATTACAGAGACACCACTCGCGGGGCCGGAATCGTCTGCGGCCGCTCGTCGGATATGCGGGATTTCGCGAGGCAGGTTCGTTTTTCTGTCCCTCCGAGCGCGCGTGGTACCGGCGAGAGAGTAACCCGGTCCCGGAAGGATTCCGGGCGGCCGAATCGCCGAACTTGTTAGCCTCGCGCGTATATTTACTCCGTTCCGCCACCTCTTCGGCGCGGCGTCGCCGGTGTTCTTAACTACGGTGTGCTCGCGACTTCGTACGCGTCTCTCTCTCTCTCTCTCTCTCGAACGACTCTCGATATATCGCTCGATTTCCCTCTTCTCGCTGATCACTTCACGTCGTAATACGATACCCGCGCGCGAGCCACGCTTCAGCTTTTCTAATTCTTTCCCCTCGCGATATGAAATTATCCGTGTCGATTGCGCGCACCCGCTCCGGTTATCCTGTACCCCTACGTCCGATCCACGTTACGACTTTTCATCTTACTCCGCGACAATCATCCCGGCCGGTACACACCTTCTGATCCGACGAGGAAAAAGAGGACTCTTGTCCCGCCAAAATCTGAACCGGCAAACTTCTCACATCCTCCCGCTTCTCCGGTCTCAAGTCCGATAAGGCCGCGGATCCGCCGGTCGGCCGGTCGAATAATTACTATTGTTATTATGTATGCACCACCCGTTTCCCCCGCGATTCACCGATCATTCCTCACGTTCTCGTTTTCGATGACGTCCCGGCGGGTGACTCGACTCGACTCGGCTCCACTCAAAACTCAACTCAATCCGACCCGACTCGACTCGACCACACGATTTCGCGGCACGACGCGCGCGACGGTCGAATGTAGACTGAATCAGACGCTACCCGCTGTACTCCATGTATCGGCCTGAACCGCGAGGTCTCCCTCAACTCCCTCCATTCCACTGCCGCCACCGCCGCGGCGCGGCGCGGCGCGCCGTCCGCCACCCCCTCCGCACCCCCCCCCCTTCTTCGGCCCTCGGCGAGCGCTACCGCGCTCCTTCTCTCGCGATCCTCTCTCGCCACTCTCGCGTCGCGGCTATCAGCTCGTGCCAGACCACAGTCCTCGAACTCGTTTTTTTTGTTTTTGTTTTTTTTACTACCGCGATCACGCCACGCATCTACGGGAAAATTGGAAAGAGCGCAGAAAAATGACTCCGAAGTCCCATCTTTGTGGGCGCTGTTTATGTTAATATTCGATCTAGATGTCACATATCGCGTTGACAGAAAGGCGACGTAAGTCAAGTGAATTAGCACCTTTTACTTGTGTCACTTTTCTCCGTGGAAAGACTTTTCTGAAAGATTGAAAATTTAACTATAGATATACAGATCTGATAATTTTATTGGACCATCAAAATAATCATATGTTGGATACTCAATATTGATGAGCAATGCTATACAAATATTCCAACGATTGCAGCTTGATTGTTCCAGTATAATTATTTTCATAGTCCAACAAAATTATTTTCAGATTTGCCCAAACTAAATTTTAGGATCTTTCAGCAAAATCGCTCTTTTCGCGTATCAACGCAGTGAGACGCGAAATATGTTTTGTGTGATCTTTAATCAACTTTCGATATATGTAAAATCCATGATATGAACATATACGTACGTTGGATATAAAATTCAAAATGTGGAAAGAGTATCTGCATCTGCTTCATAATTTTAGTTCACTTTCATTTTCTAATATTAACGAAATGTCTTGAGAAAGAAAGAAGAAAGAGAAGTAGAGAGATGTTGCTATTTATTAAACACTTCTCAAGATAGTATCCTCACAAGCACTGAAACATTATACATTAATTGTATTCAACATGTTATGCTAAATATATAAATCAAGCCAGCATCAAAATAATGAAAAATTTTAAAAGAAAAGAATTACAAATATAAAAAAAAATAAAATAAACATAGAAATTATAATGTGTACATTATAATAAATACGAATGTTATAGGTACACTGAGAAAAAAAAAGTTGTTAAATAACTATAAATGCGTGTTTTGTTGACAGTTTTTCTTTGATTCAATTATATATATTTTTTAATTAAACATATATCAACATGATACATCATTAACATTATATTTTTGTGAATTAACAAGTATTTTGTTGAATTAACAAATGTCTGCTTGACAGCCCGTGACCGCCGCATTTAGTTGAATGAAATAATATTTTTTTAAATCAACAATTTTTTTTCTCCGTGTAGCATGTAAGACTGTAATGTGAAGGGGGAAAGAGAGAGAGAGAGAGAGAATATATGTATGTGTGTATGTGTATGTGTGTGTGTGTGTGTGTGTATGCGCGCACGCCCGCGCTGTAAGTAAATAACAAAAAATCCGTTTTCCTCAAAGAGAAAGATAATAATTCTGGGATTGCGAAGTCATTCTGCATTATTGCGGCGGCGGATTAGATAAAGAAGGCGGGCGCGCGAACGGTTCGCGCGCCGCACGAAGCGCGCTGTATATAAGTACGATATTTAGCGTCGGCGTGACGACGTCTCCGGATCGACGTCGAACTGCGTGGCGTTACTGGCGTTACTGTATCTGTGATATTAATTGCCCTCATAAATTACATCGTGCATTTCAGTCGCGCGATAAAGAGCGCCGTATGCGAGCGCGAATCGTGCGGAATGCCACCCTCTTAAATTCCTTTCGCGCTCCGGCCTGCCTCACGTTGGATGGCACGAGCGCCGAGAGGACGGCAGTACGTTCTACGTTCATGAATGACAAAAGCCGGCACGAAGCCGGCGAGTCTCGGCGAGTGTATAACTGCTGGATGTAGTGTTTTATTGACGATCGCGCGAGCGCGCGCGCGCGCGCGCGCGAAGTGTGGACGGGTCAAAAGTTCGCGCACTGTTGCGCCAAGGAATCGCGCGTCGTACGTTATTCTCGGCTTCTCCTCCGAACGATCCCCGTTAATAATCCCCGGTCTAAATCGTCACTTGACGCGAACGTATACGACGACGGAGAGTGGCAGCTGTCGCTTGCTCGATTACATTCAGATTAGAATCTAAACGCGGCTATAAACATTCTAAGATACTATTAAGTATTATCGTTTATATGTAAAAGGCAAATAGTCAATCGATGCTTTTCCATTCTGCGAGGTCCACGCGAGTCTTATTTTCCGTCTCTCACTGAAGATAAATAATCTATACCGTTTATCTTTCACGTACGATTCTCAATAATATAAGTATTTCTCAATAATATAATTATTTAATGATTATATGGGAATAAAATATTATACGAATAATGTTTATTTTTTCATATAATGTTATGATTATTATGTGTATAAATAATGTTTTTTTTTCAATAAAAATTTATAGCTATAAAAGGATTATGTATTTATATTTCTAATTAAAAATGATAAGAGTGAATTTTTGGGAAAACTTTCAAATATGAAATATTTCAATCGATTAATATATCTATTCTTTAATACTGAATAAATACTCATTTATAAATGTCCATTTAACTACAATTAGTTGACATTTAAATTATCGCGCTTTTGTGTCCATCTTCAAAAATGTAACAATTTGAAATTTTGCGTTCTCTAGTATTCCTAAATAATCCTAAGAAACATCTTCTATTATTATATTTTCTATATCAAAATAAAAAAAATGTTTCTTAGTTTAACTTATCATTCAAAAATTATTTTAGATATACAAGAAAATATTTTTAGAAAAAGAATATTGATCGCGTTACGAACATTTTCTTCGATTTTTTATACATAGAATAGAATCTTTCATTAATTGAAACTTGTAAAATCGAGACCACAGAGTACGGTAATAATTTAGACATCTATTAATTTTGACTTAGATATTTTGAGGTATTACTTATCACCAATAATTATTATTATGCATAATTTTTTATATACGTTTATATAACAGAAAAAAAAAATTAACGAAAAAAATTAAAGAGTTTATTGTACAAATTATTTGATGACATGATTTTAACGATGTATATTCTTTGAACAATATCGGAGCAGTAAAATATTAACAATTACAATTAGGTTGTAATATTAATTAAATATTACAAATACAAATTAATGAATGCAATCAATCGATAGTATCGTCTATGTAATCTTCATAATGTACGCTTTCACGTGTATTATCAAAACCCACTTCTTGATCTGTTTGAGAGACCAATTCAATAATTCCCCTGTAACATAATCAAACAGAAATTCACATATTCATAATTATAATTATTATACCAACAATCACAATTATTAACATAATTTATTTGCAAGTTTATTTGCAAGAAATGATTGTAAGAAATAGGTAACAAAAGAAAATTGATCATAAAGACTTTAGGATCAATTTGCTTTCATTATCTAAAAAACTCTTATCTAAACAACATTTACTTGTGTTACTTTTCTATCAACGTAATGATATGTGTAAATAATAAATGTATATGTAAATTTACTTTAATAAGTCCCCTTCAAATGTTGACCACGATACCGTTGCTGGATTCGTAACTTTATATTCCAATAAACTATTCAGAGCGTGCTGAAGTTCCTGTATAACGAGAAGATATTTCAAAATAATCTCCTTTCTCTAAGAATGTCTAAATAATGCATATATATATTAATTTACATACCTGTATCATTTCCGCAGTTTCTCGATCGCAAACAACATCTTCCAAAAAGTTCAAGCTACTGATTATATAATGTCCTCTTTCTCGTCCTAGAATATAATGTTATCACACGTGTGCGATTAATACACTGAATGATTGGTACGCGTTCGAATAGAAAAGAGTTATATTTACTTATCGACAGACTTGGTCCGGCAAACACTAAACTCGGTACATTTATACATGTAGTATCATGTAAAAATATAGCGGTGGAGCGTTGTTTTGTGAAATATGTCAAGTACTGACTGGGAAAGTTGGAGGCTCTGTTATTTACGCTCGACGGATGTAAACGTACAGAACCGTCTTCCGGCGTCCAACCGACCACCCCATTTTTCGTAATTTTCCTACAACAGAATCAGGTACACGTTAACGTTAATATCGTTGTATTCAAGTCAAACGAATTAGAATTAATGTTTGCCAACCTTATGGCAGCGATGTTAGGATATAATCCTGCACAGACGATGGTTTTTATCAACGCTATGTTATCCGAATTTCTATTAGATTCTATATGGCTTGGGTCCTCACTATCCAGAAATTTCATCTCATACAAATACTGTGCAAATTGAGTTTTCATTTCGGAGAGAAGTTTCAACGTGTTGAAAGAGAGAAAGTACTCTCGGCAAAACTGCCAAGCCTTGCCTCTTTGGCGTGCGACCTCGTATCTTCTTAGAGCCTCCGCGAGAGCAATATGGTCACTATACTGCTCCATGCTGAGCTCCAACTTTTTTCTATTAGCTTGCTCCTCTTGTCCCAATGGACAATAGAAAGCGTCTTTGAATGTGAGACTGGCAGCAATAGCAAATATTGGCTCAACACAAGAGAACAATGCACCCCACAGAATCATTTTTCCTACAATAAAACATAATGTCGGTTACATTAAAGTTACACACAATTCAGCTTCGTAACAATAGCAACAATAGAATTACCTGTTCTAGGATCAAGCGGCAACTGCGCCAAATGATAGCCCAAGGGAGTCAAATTCTCGTTTTCGTCGAGGGCATTGAGTTTCTCGAGTAAGTCAAGAGACAGATCAATGGCTTTTAGATCTGGCGAATCCATGACGGTAGATAGGAACGGTTTGACTCTGCCTAATTGCAGGATTTTTATTTGCAAAATTACCTCCTCTAAGCGCGTCCTCAGCATCTCTGGCAATGGATATTGCTCAAGTGTCATTTCTCGTGCTCTTGTATACATATGATAACATTCCCCATTTTTAACCCTATATTTAAAAAAAGAACATACTGATTTAATTGTAATCTACACGAACAAATTCGATAAAAAATGTATTTTTTTTTCTTTTAGTACAAAATTGTAGTAATATATAAAATACCGCACCTGCCAGCCCTACCGCGTCTTTGCTTGGCATTGGCTAAGGATACCCATTCAGGCTCCAAAGTCTGAATGTTCTTATTCACGTCGAATTTTCCAAATTTCGTTTTCCCGCAATCTATTACATACACAACATCTTCTATAGTTATTGACGTCTCAGCAATTGAAGTTGCAATAATTATTTTACGAACGCCAGGAGGTGGCTCTTTAAATATAAGTTTCTGATCAACTGTCGGCATACGTGAATGAAGAGGATAGATGACGAATTTATCTGTAAGAAAAAAGAAATCTGTTAATCATGATGCTTGGTTTAAAATATACAATCAAATATGTATCAAGATAATTATGAACTCAATAACACAATTAATTAGGAAAAAGTAAAAAAATTCAACTTTATCTCATTTGAAAAATTAATTTGTTAATTCGACGATTAAATATGTAATATGTAAATTAAAATTAAACAAAATCGCCATATATTTATACCTATTTATAGCATTATATTAATATATAGAAATATATACTTACCGTTTGGTTTAAGTTTAGAATTAGTTTGTAACATTTTGTTTAATTTCGATATATCCATCATGCCAGGTAAAAAAATTAGAATAGCGCCCGGATTTTTTGTGTTACAGATATATATAACTAATTCTTGTATGAGCTCCAATGAAAGATCTTCACTAAGTGGATTCCGTAATTCTTTAATAACTTGTGGTTCATATTTCTTCTGTAATTATGTAAAATATTTTAAATATATAGGTAAAGAAAATGATCATCACTTATTCATATTTACCTCAGCTATAAGTTGTCTAATATAAGGCTGTAATACGTCTAGAAATTCGTCTTTCTTATTCTGTTGCTCTTTATATCTTTTCAAATGTTTCCTGTAACCTGTAGGTTCTGGTGGTGGTTCGGGAAATCTGTATCTGTAAATTAAAAAAAGATACAAGTATTATCTCTCATGCATACAGAACCTAAAGTCATATAAAAAATTGTCTGAAATCTCTATCAAGTATATCAATGTAATTTTTCAATAACGTAGAATGACAAATCAAAACCTGTCGATTCGCAATCGATAGAGATTTCGGATTCAATCCCAATCCTTATTTTACATATGCTTCAGTTTACGAGAGGCTAAGTAAAAGAGCCTCTTGAAAAATTTTGAGTGAGAAAGTACGAGATTCTTGTAGTATAAAATTGTAAGCCAGGAATAACAAACTAAAATACGGATTTCAATAACACTGTAACAATACTAACCCTACAAACGATAAAACGTCTTCTAAATAAAATTCCTGTACTGGATAGGTGAATCCCGGTATGTGTATCATCGGACAGTTGTCATAATATGTCGAAAATCTTTCAGCATTCAATGTTGCGCTCATCAAGAGAACTTTCAAGTCTACTCTCTAAAAAGTAAGCGAGAAAAACTATTACAACTCAAATTATAAAATTTTAATCAAATAATTTTATAGAAAAAAATATATGTTTCAAAAATATAATACAAAAAATATACATATCTGAAATTCTTAAATAAAATAACAATACAAGACATAACAGTTAAATACAATCTGAATAAAAGTACATATTAATTTTAATATTTAGTATTAACGACATGATGTCACCGAAACTTACTTTTGGGATAACTTGTTTTAATAATGTAATGATGAAGTCACTTTCTGTGCTACGTTCGTGAATTTCATCCAGTATCACATGAGAGAAACCCTTTAATGCTGGATCATGTTTCATCATTTGCAGCAATATACCAGTAGTACAAAACAATATACTTCCTTGTTCTCGCGATGGAGTTCTATGGATAAAAGAAACAAAATCAAAGTGAAACAACATTATAGGCTTTTTATAAAATATTATATAGTATACACATTTCACATAGATTTACTTTTCAAGTCGTATCTGGTAGCCGACAGAATTTCCAAGTCTTTCTGCTCTTTCTGCAGCTACACGTTCAGCAATGGAAATAGCTGAAATCCTTCTAGGCTGCGTGCAAATTACTCGAGTAACGCTACCGTTTCCCGCTTCTAACTCATCATCCAATATAAATTGCGCGACCTGTGTAGTTTTGCCACATCCTAAAATGTAAAAAAAAAATCCTTAATTATTGACTTGTTATGATTTATTAATTGTTAATTGAAATCGGAAATTCAAATAACTAAAAATGAAAACACACTCAGCGCATGTTTAACGATGCAAAATCAAATTTCTTTAATTGGGTCATTGCATTGCTTCAATAAATCAAATAATAATCATAAAAAAATTCTAGCCTACATTAATAAATAATTATCGCGACTTACCGGTTTCTCCACTAATAACAACAACTTGATTATCCTCAATCAATTGTAATATTTCTGATTTTTTTTTATATGCTGGTAACTTTGATCGAAACTTCAACATATTTTTATAAGCTTCCTGACTCTGCTTGTCTCTGTATTCACTTTGTAATATTCTGTCTATGTCGCTATTTCTTTGCAACTTCGACCTCACACTTATAGCTTTGGCAAGATTCTGCTGCATATCGCCGTGTATAATGTCTAAAAATTTTCTTCTAAATTGAATATCATGAATCTGATATTTGCCGTCCTCGGATTTGAAATTTTCATGAGGAATTAAATTGTAAAATCTTTTTGAGTCATTTAATATAACCTTAATTCTTTGCTCTGTTTGAAATGATAATTTAAACATTTCTGGAGTATTCTTTTTCTTTCTTTCTATATTTTTGTTTCTGTAATACAATCCTATTTCCTTTCCTCTTAATCCAGGAGGTCTTCGAGTTTGTGAATATGCTCTTCCTTGTCCAGATGTAGACTGTGTTTGTTCTAAAAAAATTCATAGCAAATTGTATTTGAAAAATATTTCACTTTTCTTGATTTGATAAAATAAAACTTTATCTATTATTTATTAGAATGCATACTCCAAAGAAAGAATAGCAATTATTACATTATCAAAATAGTGAAATATCAAGCGTTCAAAGAATGTTTAAAAAATAAGATTTTCAAAAATTAGGCTTATAAGAATAAACGTAATATATCAATAAAAGTTTCATTTGTGCTTCGATTAGTAAAGTATTTAATATCAAAAATAAAAAATTAAATAAAAAAACCACTAAATAATAAATTTACAACGTTAAAATTACTTTTTATGTCAAACAATTGAATATCTTGTTAACAATAGACATACAGATACATTACAGATAGATGAATTTAATAAAAGGCTTTTGCCCAATGCTTATTTCAATTAAGTTTCTCATGTTAGTCGTGGAAAAAACATTGCAAGGCTGTATATTTGTGGCTATTCCTCCAAAAGATTTGTTTCTAAATTCTAGATTACTTTTAAAAGTTCTATTAGAGAAATTATGTAGATATGGAATATTAATGTAGATATGGAATATTACATATACAACAAAAGATAAGATTATTAATTAATGTAATATCAGCCACAATCACTAAAAAAACATTTCATATAATTCCTTCATTAATTTATTTAGTTAGGACAAAATAAAAATTCTTTCGATAAACGAAATGATATCTGCTTAATTTCAAATTATAATACGCCTTTATACAACTATAATACCTCGGCCAGAAATATAAAGCACCTTCCATTTTCTGGAAAGGGCGACAATTAAAGCTGAAGGATTAACAAAATAAAATTGTTTAGCACACTTGTAGTATCGTTATTAAATTGATCAATTGAATTTGCAATAATATTTCAGCTTTTATGATTGTGTTCTCAAAAATTCGAAAATTTATTATATAGCTGAAATTAAAAGATTAAAAATATTATTGGGCATCAATATCTAACTTAGGCCGAATCTTGACTGTTTCTTCTACTATTTGTAGCATACATATAGCAGCCTTATTTGAAATTATTGTTAATATAAAATTGTTATAATAAATATTAATTTTCAATAAAACTTTTTAAATTTGTTTTTCATTAAATAAAAAAACATTGATGTAAGAAAGTTTATGTCAATTTGTGAGAGGTGCTTCATACTTACGACCAAGGTATGTATAATCTAAATTATTTCATGAGTATCGAATTACAATCATTTCTCAGTAATCTATAGGTTAATGTAACCGAGATTTTGTTTTATGACCAAGGCTGTATAATCTATATTATTTCACTAGAGTCGAATTACAATCATTTCTCAGTAATCTAAGTCGTAACAGAGATTTATTAATATTACAAGGAATTTATTAGGAATATTACAAGAAGTGTGAAAATAGGTATGAGTGTCTGAGAATAACCAATTAGTTCTTGCCGATTGTTTCTTCAAAGTATGGCTTGGCGTGGGTTTCGTTTCATGCATTCTTTTCATACATCATTTTATTCTTGTTACTCACTGAAGCGGCTAAGCAAGCATAAAATGATACATCACGCGTGCAAAGGGAACGCGTCTCGAAGGTGAGAGAAAACACGTGATGTGCGTACAACGAAAAGCATTTGTATTAAGAATGCGACAATGACTTTGGAAATGAACTTGGATTTCGTTAAAGGATTTCGATACTTACCATTTCTGTTATGTCGCGCGAAGTAGTGCGACGAACCTCTGAAACCGCGTCGCATTTTTGCGAATAAACGTAGAGGATTCGTTAACGTCGAGGCTAATCTGTACTCCAGTTGCTCCACTTCTCATTCACTCGCGACCGACGACGATTGCCGGACGAATGTCTACTTTTCACGATCCGACCTAACCTCACGAAGCGTCTTTTGTCGCGGCATTTAATAGGTCCGCGTTTCTCGTACGACGTACCATCTGCATTGCACTTTCTGCACTTAAAAGAGACTTTAATCAGATGTTTTTAAAGAGAATGGACGAAAAGTAGAAAAGATTCCGCTCAATTGATCTCGGATCTTATTCTCGAAATATTTACATATAAAAATATACAAAATTACTATTAGTACCTTCATGTGTGAAATTTGTCGAGAATACGACTCTTGATTCTCGTAGTTGCACTTTCTGCAATTAAAATAGAGCAGAGGTATACTCGCTGACGTTGAAGAGAAAGAGAGGAAGGACGAAAAGTACAGAACAGAACTACGAACTCCGAACTCGTCAGCAATAGCAATCCCGGAATGGGGCGGACGATCGAGGGAGCTGCGCTTGGTTGCGTTTATTTTTCATAAGTATGTAAACAATAACTTGGAGTCTAAGAATTCACGATTGTTAAAAAAAATGAGAAGTCGAGAGGCTTGGATAGCTCTTGTTTGGGAACTTGGAGAGATTTCGCGTCTTATATATGTTTCACTTTTTTTTCTATTTTATTATTTTATTCAACTTTTCTTATCGCTGATTAAACAAATTTGCTATTGTCAATAAAAAAAAAAAAGAAAATGCAATCAGAAACTAGATTAAATCGCGCGTTCTTGATCGTCGAAGTAGAAAGTATTCATTATGCGTGCGCGACCGAAGGATTAACCTACAAAGCAGAGTTGACAGCTTCGCGCGATGGTGACACGTATACATAAATACACGTGCTTCACGCGAGATCAGAGGCCTGTTTTTTTATAGGTGAACTGGCTACACTAGTTCAGAGTTTATCTTTCTTCTTCCAGTGTAGAAAGAGAAAGATAAACTGGTGAACTATGCAGCGGTTCAGCTATGAAAAACAGGCGTCAGGTAATTCGAGTTCCACGCGAGATTTGAATTAAGACGGAATTAATAAAACATTTCTCAGGGTCGATTCCCGCTCGTTCCCGTCAGTGAGATCCTGGTAGTCGGCGGATGTTTGGGAATTTATCTATGTCGCGATCACGTTGAAAGAGGCACAATCATGTCGGAGCCAGATAAACAATCCAGCGAACCGTATCGCCAATTAGAGGAATCACATGGCGCCGAGCTGAATGTCGGCGCACAAGGCACGTCGAGCTGCCACACGAGCTTGGAGAACGGCGCCGAACGGTCGATGGAACTCTCCTCCGTTGTGGTCATACCCGATGGTATGTTACTCATGAGCCGCTCTCGAGTCTCTTGTAAACATGTAAATAGGCGTAGTTCGTATGTACGTGATTGCAGTGTTTAATGATACTCCGTGTTCTAATTGTACAGAAGGGTTTACCTAACACGAGAAAAAGAAGGACTACGTACGCTGTAAATATTTTTAATACCGCATGATAACATAACACTGGGGAAGCTGGTTTTACTAATGGCTACGTTAAGTTGTGGTAACACGGAACGCGCTGCAGAGTGTCTTTAACAACAGTATACATTAGACGTGCATGCGTGCAAAGAATTAGGTGTGTATATATATTTTCCATAAACTTTGTGTGACGAAAAAAATATGTATTACTTAAATCTGTCATTTAAATCTTAAATTTAGAGGCAATACGCTTCTGTATATGAATGAAGTATCGTAAGATAAATTAAAATGTAAAATAACACAGTAGTGTAATTTTACGCAGTAGTATAATAGAAGAAATGTAACAATTGTGAGATAAGATAAATTAAATTTAATTAAATATCAGGTTTAATTAAATTTCATTGACAGACACATTTACTGTGGTACAAGCCATCAATGCGTTGGGCTTTGGAAAGTTCCAAGTAAAATTGTCTCTGTTCACGGGTCTCTGTTGGATGGTAGACAGTATGGAGATCACAATACTGAGTATCCTAAGTCCATCCTTACATTGCGATTGGGGCATTTCTAGATACCAACAAGCACTGACTACAACGGTATCTTTTTTTTTTTGAACTTGCCATAATTATTCTTGTAAAATATGAATATCGACGATACGATTCAATTGTGGGAATTGAAATTTTAGGTAGTATTTCTTGGTATGATGTTAAGCTCTACTTTCTGGAATAATTTGAGCGACAGATACGGTCATAAGCAAGCTTTAACCTTGTGCGCGGTGCTGTTGGCCTATTACGCATTTCTGAGTTCATTTGCGCCGAATTTTCTCTGGATCCTGTTGCTTAGAGGCGTTGTGGGGTTTGCTATTGGTTGTGTACCACAATCGTAAGTATTTGGTAAGTTTCTTAAAAGCGAATAACTAGCTCGTCTTGGAACCTGTTGTCACCATTGACTTGTCTTTTTCTGCAGAGTGACCCTATACGCAGAGTTTCTGCCAGCGAAACAACGTGCAAGATGTGTTATTTTACTGGATGTAAGTTTACATCATAAGTATTGTGGATTAATAAGGATAATATAGGATAATTATAATTAAAAAGTATATATATTGCGTGTACTAGTGTTTTTGGGCTCTCGGAGCTTGTTTTGAAGTGGCGATTGCATTAATCGTGATGCCCAATTTTGGATGGAGGTGGCTTCTTATATTATCATCCATTCCATTATTTATATTCGCTGTAATAACACCGGTTCGTAAATTTATATGTATTCAATGTATATCATTTATTTAGAAATATTTTAAAAATTACATCAAATGATTTCACATATTTGCAGTGGCTGCCGGAATCTACAGTGTTCGATATGACAGCTGGAAGAACAGATCGTGCAATTTCGACGTTAGAACGTGTAGCCAGAGAAAATAAGAAATCGTTGCCTCTAGGAAGACTAGTTATGGATCGATTTTATCAAGGCCATCATGGACGATTTAAAGATGTTCTGAGCAAAGAAATGTGCAGAACGTCTGCTTTACTTTGGCTCGTATGGTAAATAATAAATTGCAATACAAAATTAAGAAATTAAATTTAATAATAAATTTTATTTTATTTTATGATTCTAAATCTAAACAGTTGAATAGAATATATTAGTAATATATATATATATATTAAAATTCTAAATATGTGTTATTATACATATTTTGCAGGATGAGCACAGCGTTCTGCTACTATGGAGTGGTGCTAATGACAACTGAACTTTTTCATACATCATCAGAGCAATGTAGCGCATGGGGCACGAACAACGACGAGGGTACGTGCCAACTTGACTGCCGATTACGGCGTAGCGACTATATCGATCTACTTTGGACAACGCTGGCGGAGTTTCCCGGCATATTCTCCACCGTTTACGCGATCGAGAAAATAGGCAGGCGAAAGACGATGGCCTGCCAGTTAGTCATGTTCGCCGTAGTGGTTTGCTTCCTGGGCAGAACCTGTCTGTTGAGCAGAGCGGTGCTGACCATTGCCGTTTTCCTAGCCAGGGGCTTGATCGCCGGTGTGTTTCAGGCCGCGTACGTGTACACGCCGGAGGTGTACCCTACGCATTTGCGAAGCATAGGCGTGAGCGCGTGCAGCGCTATGGCACGAATCGGCGCTATGATCACTCCGTACATAGCGCAGGTATTTTTGCAATGGTCCATCACGGGGGCCATGATCATTTACGCGACAACCGCTCTGTGTGCTGCAATTGCTACGCTCGCGCTTCCCGTGGAGACGAAGAATCAACAATCAAATGACGCGCCTCAGGAAAGTAGATAGGCATTCTTTGCAACGAAGTATTTTAGTATATTGACCGAAATTTACTCTACTCTATCTCGCATTATTTAGGATACCTTTTTATTCTTATTACATTGCGATATATATGTAATAACAGATGTGTATACACAGTCGGCTCTTGATTAATTGAGAACTCGTCTTGTGTATTCGTACATGACCATATATGCGAACAATTTTAGTCGTTATCAATGTATTATTTAATCAAATGGACGTATCTTTATTTTTTAATTATATATAATAACACGCCTATATATTTAATCTATTTATTATATAGTGTAGAAACAAGGGAATTTTTTATTGTTAACAAGGGAAATTTTTTCATCTACTCAAGGATTTATTATCAAAATGTTAATTCTAAGTTACACAATATATACAAACACAAAGACTGACACGTGTGCGACTTTTAAGAAAAGTGCCAAAACAAATATTGATCAATGAATATTGTATGCTCTCAATTTCGTATATTGTATAATTTTGAATTTACTCTTAATGGTAACGATTGTAAGTATTTGATGGAATATATAAATAAAATTAGTTCAATATGATTGGCTTGTTAATAGACAATTATGAATTGAATTTAAAGTCAGTATTGATTAGGGTCATGGTAAACATTGAAACTGATATGAAGAAGCATCTATCGTATGTATGGTAAGTTAAATTGAAAATATTTTTAAAGTGCACAAACTACCATTGCCCACATCATCTCATGCTCGTATTGGCTTTAAATTGAATTTATATATATAATTATATAACTAATATAATTAATTATATATACTATTATAATTATTTGGACAAAACAGATTTTTGTAATTACTTTTATGTAATTTTTGCATATTCAAAATTAAATATTAATTTTTATAATTGAATCAGATAAATACAATAAACTTTGTAATGTTCAGATGTAATATTTTTTTTCATAAGGTGTACAAATTACGATGTGCATCAAATAAGATAATATCCAAGAGTTATATTTTATATATTTTATTTATCAGATATTAATTTATATAACACTAATATATATATAATTAAATAATAAAGAAGTTGTTTAAAGTTAAAAATTGCAGTGTATTGCAAGCTAATCTTGTACAAAAAATTATTGTTTACTGAGATATTTAATATATTTCCTATATAAATTATAGCATTGTAAAATCAATTTATATATGTACGAAACAGCAATGATCTGCACGTGCATGCGTGCGGCAGACGACTACGTCAGATTGCGTTTCGCGTAGTGGCACGGAGTACAAAACAGATCAGCGGTCGGACTCTCTTATGTTGCAATAATTGTATATATTTGGAAGGTTCTTTTTGTGCAAAGAACACAAAGCAGGATTAGTTTCTAGTAAATAAAATAGAAGTGTTTACTACCGGTTTTTGGTTTTGAAAATGGTGAGTACTAGTAAAAATCGGAGTATTTTGAAGGATCAGAGGTTATGTGGAGGTTAGTCACGCGTGATTCCTTTTATGGTAACAAGACTGTAGGTGGAAAGATACTTTATACATATATATATAGACATTTAAATTTTTTTATTATATCATTTCATAATATAAAACAAAAAACTCAATATACTTCTGCGTTTTACATTGTCTCAGCAGATAGCTTCACAAGTTGATTTCTCAATTTTAGCAAGATCCAAATGAAGATACCGAATGGAACGATATTCTCAGGAGGAAAGGTATCATACCCGAGAAGCAGAAAGAACATGAAGTTACCGAGGATCAGATAGTAAACCTCTTGGAGAGTACGATAGACGAGAAAACAGGACGTGGTGATTATGCTTCTCAAATCTCTCAAATCGCTTTTTAATTTTCATCAATGTGTCTTAATATCGTCTGCTCACACTCCGGCTTTTCGCAGCTCCAGACAGTTTAGAGGAGAAGACCTTGGACGAGTTAGATGAGCTGGAAGACGAAGAGGACGAACGTGTTCTGGAGGAGTATCGACGGAGGAGGATAGCGGAGATGAAGGAGCTGGCGAACAAATCCAAATACGGGGAGGTGCAAGAGATATCCGCGGAGGGTTACGTTAAAGAAGTTAACAATGCCGGGGAAGACGTTTGGGTTGTTTTACACCTTTACAAATCCGGGTACGATGAAACAAAGCAGAATGAACCTTCGCGGCCATCGCGGCGATGAGACTAACTTACATTATATATTTTCAGTATTCCACTTTGTACTCTAGTCAATCAGCACCTTGCCAGTCTAGCGAGAAAGTTTCCTGCCACTAAGTTCTTGAAGAGCATCTCCACCACTTGTATCCCGAACTGGCCCGACAGAAATCTTCCTACAATATTCATCTATCACAATGGAAATATGGTGAAACAAATTATTGGGGCGCTCGAATTCCGTGGCATGAAACTGTCTGAAGCGGGTACGCATTGATTGTACAAAATGTCGCAAAGAAAATGTGCAAAGGAAATGATGATTGTGCTGTTTACTTTGTTGTGTAGAATTGGAATGGATGTTGGGGCAAGCAGACGCAGTACCAACGAAGATCAAGGGGGATCCTCGGCCCAAGATCAATGATGTTTTATTTTCAAGTTTGAAAAATGGAAATGATCTTGATGATGATGGTAATGATTGGTAATTTTATCAATATGAAGTCACTAAAAGATTAATACGTATAGATGCATAAGTATTATCGGACTAATGGTGTTTCACATTTTATTTGTTGTATTTTATTATGTCATATAAATGAACTCATCATTTGTAAAAGTATTTTCGAACCTGCTATATATACACCGTTCATTTTAATAAAATATTTTATTATAATGTTACCTCGCTTCATATTTATACTGTTTTCCCATTTATACTGTTTATAAGAAGCCTCTTTATTCAGTAATTTAAATAAAAATTATTAAACGGTTTATTTAATTAGAATTAGCAAGCTCTTAAATTGTATTTAAAATTCGTATAATTTTAGTATATATTTTTAATTTATAATGTTATAGATATGGAAAAAAATATTTTCTACGGTTTTAAGAATAACATAAAAATTACTTTTATATTCTTATAAAGAAATTGAAAATTGTCAAAATTTATATATATCAATTCTTTTTAAAATTATTCATTTTGAACATTAATAAATATAATTTAATTATTGTTCAGCATCTGATATATTTTGTTAATTACAATTTCTTTTTTTTGTTTATTAAATAAATAATTAAAATAGGATTCTGAAATTCGAGCCCCGTGAATTTAGTTAATCCACATAGTGCATAATTAGTTCTCAAAGAACCGCGAAGAAAATACGAATGATTTCTAAATAACATAAGTAAAAAATAATATTAAAAAATCATATTAAATTGCATTATTAATTTTGCACCAAAATATAATTATCAAAGAGGGTAACGAATATCTTTAAAATCCGTTTTGGACAATTTATACACTTCGGGATAAAATTTTATTTACAACTCGATATCTCATACCTGCACTTCATTTTAATGTGTACTTTATGCATGAACGTACCTATAGGATTTTTTTCGAGGGGGGGAGGGTTATCAATCCTATTAACGCATAAATAGCAATTTTTTGCATTAATAAATTGCATTATTCGATATTTTTTTTACGTAAATATCATCAAACGTCATCAAATATCATATTATAAATTTTATAAAAAATATTTTATTTTGGAAAACCAATAAAAACATAAAAATTGGGGGGGGGGAATTGAACCCCCCAAACCCTCTCCTTGGATACACCCGTGATTCTGTGCACGCGCGCGGCGCACGTACGCGTACCGATACTTCAGATGTTTTGCTCGTGTCGCGCGACGCACAGTCGCGGCGATCCGGATTCCGGGATTTTCGGATCATGAGTTGTAGATCGTTTGCGGCGGCCTTTTAAAGCCGTCGGGAGCGTCGAGGCGCAAGAGGCTACTGATAAGAGAGATTTCGGAGACACCCGACGCCGGTTCAAATGGGTGACACTTCAAAGGGTCGTGGATAAGGAACGATCGTCATTGTCAACTTGGTGACATCGAGATCCCAGGTCCCATGGTGACGTGTTTTTCCACGTGCATAGAGGCTAGAGGCCCGCGTATTACGTGCCTCGAAACCTTTGGAAAAGTACGTACGATACGCACATAGGTATATATTTATATTTACGCGATACATATCGCGCGGCGTCTTTCGGCGCCGGTCCGAATACGGCGAATGTGTTTAGAAAAAAGCACGCCGGGGCTACGGGGCGACTTTGTTTACGTTCGCTCGTTCCGCCCGTAGGATATATCTTTCCACGCGATTATCGCCTCTCTCAAGGACTTCTCAAGTTTCCCTTTTTGTTTAGCGATTGAGAGAGAGAGAGAGAGAGAGAGAGAGAGCGCATCTCTCTCTTGCGTGTCGCTGCGAGCCTACAGTCGTCCGCGGGCGAAAGACGGACTCGTGTGTGTGACGACTACGCGGTTGCGATCCCCCGGTCCCCCCGGACGAACTTCCGTCGCCGGCTATCACTCTGGGAGCGAGATCGGACGGAGCCTGTGACAGATCGTGAGTCTGGCGCTCGCCTTCCCTCCGTTGGCGGAACTCCGACGAAGGTTCTTAAATCATTTTTGTGCGGGACATTTTTGTTTCTTGGAAGGGATGCATGCACGCTGAAACGTACGCGCGGATTCAATCGGCGCTCAACTTGCTAAGTCCGCAAGGACCGCAAGTAGTGTACTTGTTGCTTTTTACGCGTCGATCGAGATTTTAGAGAAAGAGACAAGCGACAATCTTGCCCCTTAAACGCTTATGCTTATATTGTTGACCTTGTACGTATTAAATTACGATTGTATTTCTTTGAAATGTCGATTTTTTTAGCAGAATCATTTTAGCAGAAGCATTTTATATTGCCTCAATTCGACAATAAGCAACAGATGATAGATATCTAATATCTTCTTTTTGTTTTGACTGTATTTCTTTGCACTTTTTGGTTGAAAATGAAATAAAACGAAGAATTGAGAAAAATCATTACAATTAAAGTTAATTTATGCGTCAAATGAATGACTCGATAAAATATCAAAAAAATTTATAAAATGTATAAGTTATGAAATATAGTATGCTGATAATTTTTAATAATTGTTTATAAAATGGTCCTTTAAATGATCTATGTGAACACTTCGTTATTTACAAATGAATGATTGACATGATATTTAATAATCATGCAATATGCTGTTATATGGATTTTTATTTTAAATTAGCTTGGCATTAGGAAATTGTTCAGTTAAGTATACAGCAAAGTTCTTTGAAATGTGACTATAAAGCATTTTATTATTTTAATTAGACAACAGCCGAAGTCATATTTAACGGTCGATCGTGGACAAATAATTTAGCAACTTGCGATCTTATTGAAATAGGCAAATATTTATTAAACATCCCTGTAAATTATTTTATTTACTGGCTAAAGGTTCGTACACATCGATCAGCAGAGCACGATAGAAAAACATAACGGATACTGAACTGCGATAGGAAAAAGATGAAGAACGTCGAAATACATTCGTCTTCCACGAGTTCCTTAAAAACCATCCTTAAGGAAGATGCAAATGTCTCTAAGCACGAAACTATTGCGAATCAAGCTGCATTGGACAATGTGCAGCTCACACGGAGCTTGCCTAATATTTTAAGAAGCAATAATACAAGAAATCGTAAACAGTTTAGCAAGATCGACACTTCCAGCGGAGAAGACGGAAATACTTCTTTAGAATTGAATACGACATTATCCAGCGTTGATTTAGATATGGAAGCCAATTATAATAAAACCGCATCACCAAAATCGCATCATCAAAGGAAGCAAGTGCACAATCCGTTGGACATACAATACGACATTCCCGATTGCAATAATAACAACAATAAAAATAAATTGCAAAAAATTAATCAGTTGGACACATTAAATGTGCCACCAAGTCGCCAGAATACACCAACGAAGAAATTGAAGTATAATAACAAGCAGAAGAAACGTTCTCTGAAAAAGCCGAAAAAAACAGCTCGTAAATCGAGCAGCCGAACAAAAGTGTCGCGTAAAAAGCCACGCATTTTAGCCGCTATTCCAGACCATGTCATTATTCCAAGTATGCAGAACACTAAAGCAATGCAAAATAATAATTTTTTGGAGAATGATATACGTCTTCAGCCCGTTTACAATCTCGATTTTCTAAACAGAAATGTAAATGTTTTAAATGACGTTGCAATAAGACCAGCCGAGCCGAATAACGTTTTCTACTGCAACAACAATGGTTGTCAATGTCACGAGGTTTGTAATGTCGAAAAAGAATATGACATAAATCTCAACGATGTTATGTATTGTAAACCAGCAGAGGAGGTCGACACACCGCAGCCTAAAACTATCCAAAGCGATTTTACAGACTACGAGTTTCCAACGACAGAGAATAATACGCAACGAAAGTCAAAGGATACTTACATTGGCTCTAATTTTTTATGTGAATCCGAAATCTTGTATTCCTGTTCATGTGCGAATTGTATGTCACATGACACAGATATTGTATTTTATGATGGTCCAGTTTCAACCTCTACGAGCAGCGACGACACGGAAGCAGGACTTCTCACATGTGATCTATATACAAGTATAAACGACTTTTACATTGATAATTACTCTCATATATTTGATGACGATTTACTGGACGATATGCTCGACTTGGAAAAGACAAATCTTTACTGCGGAGATTTCGGCGAGAGCAGTTTTACGAAAGAAAACGCATGTACTGGCAATAATAATACAACCGAAATAATTGAAAGCGGCGGCAACGTGTCATCCGAAAACCAAAGTGAATCACAAAATTTACAGCCTTGCCATCTTGATGGAATACGAGATACTTGTGCAGAATCGTATTCTATTCCGTTCTCGGAACTTACGTATCCCAGTGAAGCAGCAAGAATGGAAAATGTAAGTTTTGATAAAACGGATATCTCCAGTTATTTAAATTCGGAAAGCTCTTCGACAAAGGAGAACAAAATAATTTCTCAAGATGAAACTCCGATTCAGAACACTACGTCAACTGATGCATCTACTTCCGGTTCGAAACGTCGGGCACCGAAAAATAAAAAAGGTAAAAGTGTGGAAAAACGTAATTTTAATAAATTATTTCGAGTTCTTATATTACACGAATTGCTTACTCAATAAATATGTACAATATTTTTTCTTCAGATTTATATGTCATCAAGTGTTCTCAATGTGGAAAATATTTTAATAAAAAGCATCAGTTATGGAAACATTTTACTTATTGCAACTTTTACACGGAGCAGTTTCACTGTCATATGTGCAGTAAAATGTACAGGTAAGAATACATAGACAAATAATGAAGACTCGCTTGCTAGTTTTTATAATTACACATACATTATGAACACTTATGGAATGTGTGCTTTATGTACAGACATGTTATTAACACATTTACAGACACAGATCGTCATTAGTATCGCATTTACGGTCAGTGCATGACATAGGACATAGTGTGTCACATGGCCGCCAAGAGAAGTTCTATATTTGTAACAAGTGTAACAAATCATATGTTAGATTTCGCGCTTTCCAAAGGCATGTGCTTGTTCATCACGATTAGTAAGTCCATTTGAACGTCGTTGATAACTGATTCCTAATGTCACGCCCTTCAACTGAAATTGCAAAAATCATACATGATATGAACATCACAGAAGTACGCGCGCGCGCACGCACAAAAGTACAACGTATTAAATAATTTTCATTCGACATACATATATGGTTTAACAAGTAACGTTAAATTTTATGAATAATTTTACATTTTGATAAGTCGGTACTTAACACTTTAATTTTTTATATTTTTTGTCGTCATTTTTGTTATCTAGAAATGTTCCTGAAATGTTTGTTTAGACTTTCTTATTAATGTTTTTGAGCTTTTTTTAGTTTGTAGTGTGCTACAGCGTAATTATTACTACTGTATTTCGAGTGCAATACAGTTTCTTCACTTTGGGAAGAATTTTTCACTTTAAAATATGTAAATGAAAACATTTCTTTTTATCATACAGTTAATTTTACATGGACTTTATTTTAACATTAAATATTAATTTAGGAATAAAAGAAGATATTTAGTACTGAAAAGTAAAGAAATATAAATAAAAATACAAAGAAAAAAAATATAAATAAAAAAATTAAATTTTTGTGTTTTTTTTTCATTTTCAAATTTTTCAAAGCATATACGAATGGAAACACAGTAGTAATGAAACAAATTAAATAAATTTTATTTATATTTATTTTTATATGAAAGACTAAAGCGCCTAAGTTCGAGTACGATAAATTTTACTAATATTTAACTTTGAATTTATCGCATGCGTGAAACGTGATTATTCTACAATTGAATATATGACAGAATACCTCAAATAGATGCCTCTTTTTTGAGCGAAAAGGATCGTATGTTATTACAGGATGAATTATTAATCACTTTCAAGCGAGATCGCTAAATTACACATTTATAACAACCATTAACCATTTTTATAACAACCATTAACACATGTCTTACAAAATGTTGCTTACATTATTAATAAATTTACTAATGAAATTTCATTCGCAAAATATTACTTAAATTTAAATGTATTGTACACGAGTACAATAAATGTATAGTACACGAGTGCCTTTATTATGTGTCATTTTATTTTATGAAATTCAAATAGTGATTAAATCTTACAGATTTTATATAATTTAAAATATGAAACTAAGATCTTGAGATTTCTTTTATCATTAATTGCATTTATCGCGTTGCTTTCTTACATAGAACTTAAATAATTGGATAATTGATGGATAATTCAAAACTTGGGTTAATTTGCAAATTTTATAAAGCATTGAGTAAATTAATCATATATATAATTGCAGCAACATTGAAATATTTGTGATTAAAAACGATATATCACAACAATCTTATATATGATATTTGTGTGCAATGTTGCTAGATGTTTGCAAAAGCTTTTTGTCTATAAAATTAATTTTCAAGAACAGAACTTAATGCGAAATTAAGAGTTATTTTTTAAATTTTATTTACTTAAATTTTTACTGCTGAGTATTAATAGTTTTATATTTTCTTGTAATTAGGAGAATTATCAATGCAAAATCCACAAGAACCTTGAAATTGTGATAAGTCCTGTTTATATTTTAACATTTTTTTATCAATTATAATTGCGATTAATTTGAAATTAAAAGATAAGAGTCTTACTTTATCTTTAAGTATTAATTATTAATTTAATAATTCATACTTAAAGTTATTAATATTTAATACTTAACTAAACTAATACTTAAAAAAGATTTAATCATTAATTTCTGTTATTACATTTATTGGATAGCATTATTTAAATGTTTTACATTGCTATAATGTGATACTTGTCAATACCTAAGTAGATAAATTATTGGGATATTATGATACTTAAAACATTGGATTATAATATATTAAACATAATTTTATATATTTTATGTATAATTTTCAGATATATTGTTTTGTTTTAACGCGTACGTGTTTTGATTTTCGAAAAATCAAAACAATATTGAATTATTTTACTTTATTATTATATTTGCGTTTACGTATTTAACACTAATTGCTTGAGTGTAATAAATTTAAAAATGCCGCAATTAATATCTTCAATGTTGAAAACGACATCGTGACGTCACTGTGACGTCACGCAATTCGAAAACGCGCGTGACATGACATCGTTGGCTCATCTCCCTTTCATCGTGCTGATATTTCATAACAGGTAAGTACAACTTCTATTTTCAAAAAAATACATTCTACCAGCGAAACAGTCAAAAAAGTATGTTACGATTAATTGATAAGAAAATAAGAGAGATTTCAAGATACTCGTAATAATTTAGGATTCGAGTCTTGCGAAAGAACACGAGTGCCTTTATTTCGGCTTTCTCTATAATTAAAGCGAAATCGTGAGACAGTAATACAAATGTATGGACTAACAAATCGATGCCACGTATAAAAGTTATATTAAGTGAATCTCTTTTTCTGTACAAACTCGTCTATTATATATTTCGTTATAAGTTTGTTTCGAATTTCTTTCATTCCGTCGCGCGGAAAAGAAGGTCGACGCGTACTATGAAAGATTCACGCAACTGTCACCCGTTTATTTTGATTCAGGCAAGCTTATGACAAAACGCTCTCTAAATGCTCTGAAGCATTTCAAGTGCACGTTCGGTCAAAATTGAGGGGTGTAGCACCGTGTAGCTGTGTAGGGATTGTAGGGAGATCAAAAGCGTCGTACATAAACTGATCTCGTCACGCGTGCAGTAATAATAATAATATGTGTCTCGATAATATTTCGCTGAAAAAAAGCAAAATAATTTCTTCATTAAAACAACATGGCGATTTCATTGTCAACAATTCTATTTTTTATTATATTTTACTGTATATGTATTAAAATATTCCAGTTCTATGTATGTAAATATTCTAATCTATAATGTTAATAATATATGTATACGTACACAATGCATACACATATATGTGGTAGTGCTTAACTGATAAAGATTGATATTTAAATTGATACTTGTAGTTTATTATATTTCCAATATGAAAGCAATTATTATTCAATAAGTAATAAGCTATAATTCGACGCAATGTGAAATAATTTTTATTAATGTATTATAATTAATATTGTTATTAATAATTTAGAAATCTCCTACCATAATTGATATTGATATGATTTAATACAACATAACATACAACATGCAGTTTCTCTCTTAGAAATAATATTTAATAATTTTCTAAATTTTTTATATTTATTTTTATTTTAATAAGAAATTTATCAAAATCTTTTTTTTCAAAGTAACAATTATTAATATATTTAACACCCTTTCAAAAGTTCCTAAAAATTAAGAAAAGAGAAAAAAATTATTTTTTTAACTTTATAAGAAATTATTGACTAGTTAAATAATATTGACAAGAAGAATATATTAGCTCTTAAAACGATTAAATGTTTACATATATTACGATTACATATATTAGTTTCTGTGAAAGAAATCGATATTTCTTGGTTTTTTAATAATTAATGCGTTTTACGAAAAAAATATTTTATAATTTTTACTTAAATTAAAAATTATTATGTTGCTTATTTATTTAGTTATTTTTAATCTAATTTTTACTAATAACTAAGTTTGCAAATAACTAAATTTTTGCGGATATGAAAATCGTATTTTGCTTTACACAAGAGAAATACTTATTTAGACATTTTTAATTAAAATCTAATCAACATTTCTTTTTACAGACTTGGATGTGAAATGTGGTCGGTTTTGGAGTCGGTGGTATTGTTGAGTAGAATTTAGGATTCAAGTTTCTGCCAAAATTATATAGAAAATCAGTGCAATTTTCGCTCGTATGATTTTCGCATATAGATGCATAAATTTGCATGAGAAACATTGAGCGAGAAAGCAGTGTAAGTTTAGTTTTTGATGTATCTTTCTTTCGAAGACGAATATATATTTGTCTAAAATCTAAATAGTGTTTATTTAAAGTAAAATTATTTTATAATACTTTTCAATATTTAATTTATAATAATTTAATTTTTATTACTAATTCTTATCGATATTTCTACTAAAATTTCTACCGATATTTGAGATTTAAAAAGTTCACTCGTAAAAATAGAGAAATAATTAAAAATTTTTTAATTTTTTTTTAATTTTTATAATAGGACAATTGATTATAAATATTAATATATTAAAAAAAATTTTGCTTGTTAAATGGTGGATTTTGCGTTGCTGAATGCATTGTAGATGTATGAAGTGATATAAAGTGAAGTTTAATCGAATTTATGAATTTTGTTTTATAAATATTTGTTTGTTTATTTAATTATTAAATTATAAATTAATTAAAGTTGCAACTTTATGAATTGTGTGTCGCGAATGTATTGTGTAAAGTGAAGTGAAGTGCAATCAGCCTGAGATGACCACTGCTACAATTACTACTAGACCATTTCCGGACTGTACTTGCAGATGTAATTGCAGCAGATGGATCGGTGGACATCGAGGGACGTCGCGAAATGATGAGTACTGTACTTCAATTAATTTTATAAATAGTCTGTTCTTTCTTAGTTTTACTTTTTTTGCATTTTATTACAATTATCAATCATCTTTTATTTTATAAAATCAAATATTATTGAAAGAAAATTAATACTAATTATTTGGAAATATAATATAATTTAGTTACTTTGCGATTTTTTTCTCAATTAAAATATTGTATACGCGAAATTTATGTATAAATGTAAGTGTACATATATACACAGAATATACATATCTCATATAAACTTCAAGGTTTTTAAAATATAATGAGTAATTAAAAGGAACAGATTATACTGCATGCGTAGTACTTGAATTATTCAATAATTGCACTGATTTCTAATGTACATCAACATTTCACATTTTTTTAAACTGGTATAATATGATTGACTTAAATGAATAAGAGTTTTATATATCGTGGTAATGTTTTACATGAAAATTTTTATGTGTATATTTAAAAACTGAAATACGTATGTATACGTTATTTCAAAGATATTTTATATCCGAGAATGAAATAAGGTCATTTACAATCTGCGTCTTGCATTCTTTAAACATTTCATCGCGTCAGATATAAATCATGTTATTATACAGAAACGTGGAAAGAAAAAATTTCTGATTTACTCGTGATTCCGATCACGACGTCGTACCGTGAAAATATCGTCTGTTCCTTACTATTTACACGTCCGGTTCTCAGCCGTAAATTGTAAACGAGGGCCCCGTCACGTAGCCCCATCGAATTTACTGACGATCGTGCCGCGACGGGTAAACTTGCCTTTTTAACGACGTACGATATCAGTACAGCGGCCCGTTAGTACGTTGCCTCTAATATTGTAACGCCGTATCGACCGTGCGAAACTCATCTCGCGCCAAGATGCCGCCTTATCTCAGCGGCGTGTAATCCTCGCGGTGTCCCGATCGGCATTATATCTATAGAAGCGCAGAGCGCGAACTGTTCTCGAAACAAACTTTAATTAAATGAAATTTTAAGCCGAGTTGCTGCACATTGATACATTTCGTAATCCTCGCCGGTGCAGTTTACATGACCACGATAAATTTAAATTTTAGCGCAGTGGAGCGTGATCGTCTATCTTCATCCTCAAGACAGCTTAAATTTAGCCTGTAACTGTATCACGATGTATTAAATTATTTCGTAAAGATACATGCACGATATTTGTGTCATTTCTTCGGGAAAAGAAACGGGGACGCAAAAGTTAAATCGTCGAATTCTATTAGAGACAACCGAGTTAAAATTGATATATGAATAAGAGTCGCTTTTGCAGAAACTGATAAGTTATTTTCTTCCCTTATGATATAAAAAAATTTATTTATGATTATAGGTAACTATATATCTAGAGATATTCATTTAAAAATAAAATAAATTATACGAAATGTATCGATACTTACTCATTTAAGCATAAAGAAAACTGCGGAATATTAAAAAAAAAAAAACAAATCAAACGAACGGAAAATTGTCTTTCGCGACAAAAAATAACTTTGTTAAACATTTTATTGCATTTAATTAAAACGTATAATTTATGATGATTATAAAGCGAGAAAGTCACATTGCGATAAACAACTTTATGGGATAGCTCGCCATTCTGAAAAGATTTAAAAACAATGAGAAAAGATAGCAGGACGTTGATAGCAATGTAGCCATAAAATATTGATATCACCTGCAATATCGGCGAGATATCGACGCGAAGATACGAAAATGAGAGAGAGAACGAGAGAGAAGGATATATCTATATTTTCTAATATCATAACATATATATCATTAGGACACTTTTATCTCGTATCGGAGTGTATACGCGTATAGACGCGCGCGCGTGCCTTTATCCTCGTGGCCCGCACGCGTGTCACCCCTCGGACAACCTCGCGCTTTCTCCCTCGTCGAAAAGGGTTGGTCCACGGTGGCGCCGTGTCTGGTCAAAACGGGAACGAAAGCTTGCGCCGGAACCGCGCAGATCCTCTCCTCAGTAGTTGCCCAGACGCTGTCACGGGCGTAGCTGGATGCTGGATCGTCTCTCTCTCTCGCGCGCGCGCGTGCCGCAGGGAGGCGCTTCCTTTTCTTCTTCCTCTTCCTCCTAATCACGTCTCGCGCGTCGCCCTCGACATCGGCGACGTCGCCGTCTGCCGTCGTCATCACATCACCGCCGCCGTCGCCGATCGCGGCGTCGCAGCGTCATTGACACGGCCCGATCGTCGCCCCCCGAGAGCAAGGGGAAGGTGTTGTAGAAAAGGGAGGCCGACGACGAAGGATCTCTCCTGCCGGCGTGACCGTGGAGGAGGGGGGGAGAGAGAGAGAGACAGGCAGACAGATAGAGATAGACTGAGATTGAGAGAGAGGGAGGGAGAGAGAGAGAGAGAGAGAGAGAAAGAGAGAGAGAGAAACGGGACAGGTGGACCAAGATTAGAAAAGGGGAGAAAGGTAGACGGAAGAAACGAGGGATATAGAACAAGATAGAGACCGACCGACCGACCGGCGGCGGTGGAGGAAGGTATTGCTCAAGTAGTGCTCTGTGTATGGTGCAGTGCGGTGCTGTGCTCGAGAGAGAGAATGGCGTGGACGGATTTCGCGTGTATCTCGCCGTGACGTGGGAAGGTAAGAGAACGTCGTCTTACGCATTCCTCTCTCTTTCTCTTCCTTCTCTTCCACCCCTTTTGCTTTAACCTCTGTCGTCGCGCCGCGCGCCGCCGCTCCGAAACAGTCGCCGGAGACTCGTTCCGTCCAGCCTCTCGTCCGGTCGCGTCTAACCGGCGGGATCGGCAACTCCTAAATCAGCTCCGATTCGCGACGGATTGTCCGTCGGCACGACCGGCGCGACGACACATCGCGTCGCGTCGCGTCGCGTCGCGACGCCGCGCGGTGCCGCGCCGCTCCGCACCGCGCGGCTCGTTCTGTCGCGTGCGCGTCTGACGCAACGCGTGCTGTTACCACTGATGGCTGTAAGTTCTGACTCTAACAAGCATTGACTCCGATGACAAACTGCCTAGCGATTGCGTTCACGGAGGATATATGTCGGAATTAATTTTTGAAAGTATGGGTATTCCGCGTAAACGTAGACCACGCACCATGTGACGAAGAAATTATATTCTCGCACTTTTTACTTATAAACGTTGACTTTAAGCTTAACGTGAAAAGTTTAGTGAAACGAACCTATTTGAATCTACATACTTACAACTTATTGAACTTACTTAGGTTGACACATTTGAATACGAGGAAATATCAGTTATCGCGAAAATGTGATTTAAATCCGATCGCCCATAAATTTCGTTATAATAATAATAATAATATGATTTTGCGTATACGATTTGCGTTAATTTATTTTTTGCTGCAAAAATAAATGTCGTTTACGTTTTTTGTGATAATTATATATTCCTTAGCTTTTCTTGTCTACAACATGTGAGATTACAAAACTGCCAGCACAACGGCGCACAATCCGTTGTAAAATGTACGAAACTATGAATTTTTTAAATTCTTTATATATTATTTTTTCGTGAGAAGTATATGTCGCACTTTTGACTTGTGAGAAATGTGACAATAAAAAACGGCCGTATACTTCTTCCCTTGATGCATGATCGAAAGAAAGGAAGTACGGACATTACCGCAAAAATATAAATGCCCCCTTTCGACTATAGTATGTCTTCCTGCATCCCGCGGCCTAAGAAACTGTTTAATTTCGCGTATAAAATTTACGACTGGCACCCGCATAGTCAGCGAATTTCACCTTTACGACTGTCAGCCTCTGCCACCGCGCGGAGCAGCGATAAAAAAAAAAGAAAGAAGCTTCGTTACCGTATTATTTATGAGGAAAGAACTTATTTATCTTGACGAGGGGTTGTTGGTGTAGGGCTATGAGAGAAAAGGGCCGAGACTCAATAAACGAGAATACCTCGGTGTAAACGTGGCGTGTAGGCGAAGATCACACGTGACGCCGATCGATATCCTCTCGAGTATAATCTCTTTTGCGAATCTGACGTTCTTGTCTCTATTACGTGGTAAACACATTGTCCGATCGTACAGCACGGAGGAAATTGAGTTCGCAGAAATATTCGTTTTGCAGTATTATTTCTCTTTTTTCGTAGCCGATGATTTGTCAGCCGTAATGTTGCAAAAATTGAAGAGCCGAATTACAGGCTCGATTTTTTTGTCGAAATATTTTGTAGAAACTTTTTTGCAGAAATAAATTCCTTTATTTATATTCGGTCCATTATGGTTATCCATTTTAATCAATTCATGCAAATATGATATGCAAAGTTGAAGGGTTTCAAGGAAAACATCACGTAATATATTTTTTTTTTTATTGGCGGAGGCGTTGCGAAGAGAGAGATTTTTAAGGTACTCCGTTACTTTTTCAAATAAAATTGTGCATACTGTTTTTTAAAATGTAACATTGTAGTTTTAAAAAAGACAAACAATAACGTATGTATAAGTTGTGTATTATAAAATAAGTTATTGCAATATAATGTAATGTAATATACTTATTGTTAACATAATCATTTTTATCTTTTATCGATATTTAAAAGTATATTCCTTATGAATATAAACATATTCATATAGTCTTTAAATAAATGGTCAGCCAAATGAATGCCAAACACTGATAGAATATTTACAAATTGTGCAGGATATTTGCGAAATGGTTGTCGTAAATTCAGAATTTTGCATTTCTCTGCGTTAAATTTATTAACGAGCACGTAGTAATCTTTGTTTCCTGTATAATAATATTCTCTTTGTACACATAGTAACACGATCTTGTAAGTCAATCTTGTGTTAAGCTTGTGGCTAATTATGTCTCTATTTATGTGCTTATGCGTAATTTAGATACGGAAGGTATCGTGCTTGATTAAGCAATAAATTGAGCCTTATTTGTAATTTCATTAAACTAGAGTCGTTATGAATAATGATCTTGTCGTGAAAAGTATCTGTATATCAAGTGGCTTTGGAACAGCTGTTGAATATGTAGTTCTCAAAGTTAAGTAACATTAAGTTTTTTTTTTTTTTCATTTGGTTGAATTTTAGATATAGATTTCTGAGACAATAGCATGAAGCGCTTGGACAAACTCGAATTTGATTTGAAATAGTGTATTTGTATTTTAAAGATTTATTAATTTGTCTGAAAGATTTCATGAAATTAAATTTAATAATCTCATGCAAATTATTAGGTTAACGTACACGATAGATGATTATGTTTCAATGATTCGAGAACTTTTACTTGTCTCAAGCAAAATCCTGCCTGATATTTTTTTTATTTGTTGGCGTTACCGCTGTTTTTGTTTACTAGTGGCGACTTAGATAAGTTAGATGCCTCAAAAGATATCGGAAGCATGATAGAGATTCCGCAATGAATAGGGACTGCAATTCAATTTTTGCTTCCTATATTAAATTCCGTTATAGGTTATAGGTTATAGGTTATTATTATTTCTATAGCATGCGCATACGACGCTCGTAACGCTTCTTTAGAGTTCTTTTATCGTTGTGCAACATTAAATCAAAAACCGAGATTTGCTACAGCGGAGTCGTGCAGTAAAACGACCATAATTTTAACCAGCTTCACAATTTTGTTCAGATTTTACGATATTTCCTCGTCGCTGCCAGATTGGCCGATTTTAATCCGCGTTATTCCACTACGAAAGCTAATCGAAAGTAAATTGCGTTTATTGAGATATCAGCGTAAATTGAATTTCTCTGAAATTGAAACTCAGATTTTCACTTGTCATAATAGATACCTACGTCTAATTTTCAACGTTACTCCGCTCGGATTGATCCCCGAATTAACCTGGCAATAACCAATAAAAGAAATTCACGTTACATTTACGTACAGCGCACGTCTATTTCGTTACGTCTATTACGTCAGCTCGCGCTGGAAGCTCGATCTTATACTCGCGCCCTTCAAGAATAAACAACTCCGCGATTTCAACGAGGCGCCGAGCGCGCGGAAATTTACGCGTAAAAAAAAATCTTGCACCGTCGCGCAAGATTTTATACTATACACGATTTTCCCGGAAAATCCCTTACATACTGCAGTTATCCTCGCGGTAAAGCTCTCTCGCAATATATGAATTCGCGACTGAACTGCACGTTGTGCATTCGCGCGCATCCATGCGTGAGACTCGCCGCGAAAAACATAGATGCCGAGAGACGGGAGAGGGGAGGGAGAGTGATTACGGGCGTCCAGACGGCGCCCCGCGTGTCCGTTCGACGATGCAACGGAAAATTGCATATAGCCGTGTATATCGCCTCGTCGGTACTTTTCCGGGAACGCGGCACCGCGGAACGTTTCCAGAGTCGCGATCCATTCGCGGCGCGGCTAATTCGTCGTCGGGAGTTGAATGCCGGCTTACGAAGGATACTCGGTAATACTCGGTACTCGGGCGTACTCGCGCGACCGTACTCCCCCAAATCGGACGCGCACCCTTGCTCTCTCCGCTTAATTCTAATCGCGTTATCGTCACCCTCGGCTCGGTGCCTTGTCAGCGACGTTGATAACGCATGTCAAGCTGAAGCAAAATCGGAATCCCATCATGGGCTTGTTCTGGCGGAATTTAAACTCACATTACGAAACGTAGTATACGCGCATAAGTGATGCTGCTCGCGCTTTTGAACTATTCTCTCCCCCCCTCTCTTTGTCTCTCTGTAGCGTATGCTTAATAAAGTGTGACGATGATAAACTCAAACGTAATAAATAAATAAATGTATCGAATATATATAGAAATTTATTTTTGAGTAAAGTGAGGTGAAAATTATAATTATTTTTCGATATTTTTATCGAGAATGTTTTATATTTTTAATATTAAATAACGCCGTAACATTATTAATATATATATGTATCGAAGTATTTTTTATTTACTTTGATATTTAGTATAATTACATTTTTTGACAGGATTTCGTAGAATGATAATGCTTATGCATAATTGTTATCCAAATTATTTAACAACTTTAGCTTTAAACTTATGTCTTATATTAATAGAATTTTAATCAACAGTGACTTTCTATATCATATGTGTATATCGAGATAAAATTAATCTCCTGATTCTTTAGAGATTGTTCTCAATAAGCCATCTGTTGCTCATAAAACTGATAAAACTCTTTGATATTCGAGTACAGCGTCAAATTATAAAGAAAAATTTTCGCGCGTATGTTATATTTTGTCAAATAACGGGATGATATTCCTATTTTTAAATATTGCCAAAATCAATTCAGACACGAGATTCTTTAATTTTTTAATATTGTTATTTTTATTGTCCGTTTCTGACCCCGTCCTTCTCTCGTTCTTGTGCATTCGACCGAATTTATTCGCGTCGATGATCTTTTTTATCCTCTTGTCTTTCTTATTTTAGCAATTTTCTTCGTTAATTGTTATTAGCAAAAAATCTGTTGCGGTATATTTATATCATGTCCGAAGGGAACGGAATATGCTTGCGCAATTCTGTATATTGAAACACTTGAAAGACTTTATTGGAAATCGTTTCTGCATTTGATTTTAATAGTCTTTAATGTTATTTATATAGATAAATGTTATTTATCTATATAAGAAAAGAATTCTATATCTAGTTCATTTATACCTGACGTCAAAAGAGACTGCGCTGCACTACCAAGCCACT